CCCTCGGTTGAACTCTTCCTGGCTGATTAACATCGGCCTGTCTTTCATGCCTTCACCTGTTGCTTGCACTATCTGCATGTACTCTCTCACACAAAGACTGTGCTCATAATCAGGCTGAAGAGGCTTTGCTGGTATCTGCTTGCCATCACAACGCAGGGCCCAAAAATTGACATTGCAGTGTTGAAAATTGAATGGGTTTCTTTCATAATCCCCACTAAAAGATGCATTGTCCACANTGTATATACGCTGTTGGTCAGCTGGAACTTTTTGGAGCTCCTCAAAGTAAAAAGCCCCCTCTACCGGGTCACCCGAGTAATCATTTAATCTATACACCACTCTTTCCCCCCTTGTCCCCAGTTCTTTGACGATGAATATCTCATCCGTATAGGTTTGCTGATACCCCTTTTCAAATTTACCCTTCAGTCTAGATACCCTGACATGATCCCCCACCTTAAGACATTTTTAAGTTTCTTTTTAAACTTACCCCATAAAGTCTCAGCCACACATCTCTTTCGTTAGACAAATTTATGGCGTTAGGAGCAGTCCCAATGCTTCGATGGTAAGTGCTATTGTACCCCTGAAGAGTGTCTGTCAAAATGTTCACATACCGATGGGTATTTCTAGCTGTGAAATATCTCCAGAGTTTGTTTTTTAGGGTTCTATTAAACCTCTCTATAACTGGTGCTTTAGTTTCACTATGGGTGACAAAATGAAGAATGCCACAACGTGCTAAAAGTTTCTTCAACGACATATTCAAGAACTCTTTATCAGCATCTGTCCCGTTTCAAAGATATTCTGGAATCTAGATGTAACTTCCCTCCCTCATTTATCAGATAAAAGGGAGGCCCAGGCATATTTAGATAACACATCGATAACTGCTAAGATGTATTTTTTTCCATGGTTCTTTAGAAATTTTGGAGACATCTATGAGATCGGCTTGCCATTGATAAGCTAAGCCAGACACTACTGTTTTATTTCTAGGAAAATTAATTCTTGCAGGCTTATGAAGCATATAAGTGTCTTGCCCTGACAGCCACGTCTTGACTTGCTTCATGGTCAGGTTTTATCATGTTTTCTAGCTTCCTGAAAAAGGGTATTTACGCCTCCATAACTCCCTACATATCCTGGAGTATAATAAATATGGCTTGGAAGTTTTTCATGCATCATTATATTGAAAGAACACTGACAAATGGGTCAAGCATAGACATTAACACAATCTTTTATTGGTTATACAGAGTTCAGAAGAGCATGGTCCTTGCATCAGAAAAATATCCCTCATCACCACTATCAGAAGCAGAATATAGAGGTCGTCTGTATTCCACAAATTATGTCTGCAGCCGCAAGCAAACCAGTCTTTACACAAAGTGCAGCTCTTTAGCTCACTGGGTAGATAGCGTGATCTCTGGGATAGCACAGAATCCCAGTTATAGTCTAGATCAGAAAAATCTGCAGAAGCTTTATGACCGTGGCAATTACCACTGGAATACAAAATCGGGGTGTCTTGAAGAGTTTGCTGTCTAAGAGTTATTATTTTGGAGTCTGCAAAATATAAATTGCATCTTGTTAGTGAGTTATCCACTCCAGTGTCATTTACAATATCATAAATAAAAAACATATTTACTTACCATTGCTGGTAGATAATGAAGCATCATTTGCTGTTTCACATACTGTCTGGTAAGTACTCTGCACATCATCATTAAAATTACAACACACCATGCTGCAACTGTGCAAAACAGGTCTGAATAAAAAAAATTCTTTATCATAACCCTTGCAACAGGGTTTGTTGCATTCTGGCGGCTGGGGTCTTGTGTCAGAGCATGCGATGCTGGCTTTTGCTGTTGTTTTAAAAACATCTATGGAATCAGAGGTTACCATCTTCAAGAGACTTCTGAAATTAAGGCAAATTACCCAGCTCTTGTAATGGCAAGTTCCTTGAGCCTTGTTCAGAATCATGGGAGGTATGACATGCCCAGGCATGTCCCTGGCATGCCTCTTGAGCATGCACAGAATCACAGGGGGTAGGTGGGTGGGTAATGCATGCTGGGCATATCCCAGACTTGCCACTTGTACATGCCCTGAATCACAGGGGGCGGTTGGGCAGGTGGGTGTGACATGCCCGGGCATTTCCCAGGCATGCCTGAACAAGGCTTAACCCTTGCATGCAGTGTGGCGGCTTGCCTCTTGTGAACATTTTAATTCCTGTTAATATTCCTTGTCTTTTCCTGTAGGTGGTCTTCAAAATGGTTACATGAGTATTTTGAGTGTGCAAAATATGTGCCTTTAGATTTTACAAAGGTAAAAACCAGCTGTGGGGTTTAAAAGGGCTGTGTTTCTCCTCCCCCCCCAGCCTTCGAGGAAATGTTTTTAAAT